TACAGGAAGCACCTGGCGTGGAGACGGAGACGATGTTCCTTTCAACTGTGTCAAAAGTCGTCAACAGAACGTTTGTGGTTTTAAATTATGCATGTGATGTATCTGCTTGACGCATGAGGGGGCGTAAGAATACCCTAATGTTATAAAAACAACTGCTTGTGTATTGTTAGGTGGAGATCGACGCTGATTGTGTAATCGGAGGGTAATTTGGGGTTAGTATCTTGCCCAAGGATATTTGGCATGCAGTCTGGGGGAAGCCAGGAATCGAACCTCCAACCTTCCGATCAGTAGATGACCTGCTCTACCAGTGTCGCAACACATTTAAATAACCCCCCTGACTGTACTGCCACAGAGTAAATATTTCTGTTAAGTACAATTACAACACATAAGTAAACAATTGAGCAATACTTCACCTAAACTGGGCTGAGTCTCGAATGTCCAGAACACACTTCAGAGTCTGAAGCCACAATATCAGCAGATGAGCCATGATGGAGTTTGTTCACGTTGCTGTAGCTGTGCTCGGTCTTCTGTCTCTTGGACACTCAGCTCCTGTGACAAGCTGTGAGACTCTAATCCAGCCTCTTGAAATCTACAGAAGTCAGGTCAGACTCTCTCTTACATCATTTCTCACTTGTTTATTTGTTTTTTCATTTTCGATATTAAATGTTTGTTGTCTTATACACCTAATACCATCTGTTTCAGCTGCTGGGCAAATGGGTACTACAAGGACAGAGCACAAGCATACCTGGATCCAAAATTCTGGTACAGATGCTTGTGGAAAATATCTGGGGGAAGATCACCGCTGCCAGTGAAGCAGATACATTTAACATCCTCCAAATTAGAAAAAAGTAATAAAAAGGATGTTTTTCCTGAACTGACACTGTTTTCAAATAATATTAATGTAAAAATCTCAATAATTGTATCTTCTAAAAGCAAGGGCAAGTGCTTCATTTGGAAAACCAACATGACTTTGGTTAACAACACTCTGACTGTGGGTGAGTATTACTGAGGGAACAAACATTTGATTTAGACTTTGTGCCTAGCATTACCATAACACTTTCAGTATATATTGATTGGTGTGTATTTGCACAGTGCAGCTTTACCCTTACCAATGCTAAAAGAATATGAAGTATGGCCATCATCTGTCATCTGTCCACAGAGCACAATAACCAATATTCTGCTGTCCTGCTGAATACTGGCTG